CCCACACAGAGGCACCATTGGCTATGACTGATAGGCTAGACTCCACCCCTTTGCTCAAATTGACAGGAGATCATATAATTGACACCATCTCCATCTCTCATATCTTTCAACATGCTCCAAATCAGCAGGTCTAGGTGCCAGTTAAAATTTTTCATTTGAATTACTCTACTTTTCTTAAAACATAATGAAAATGGGGACACCATCCCCTCCTTTGGGCTATTTCTTAGCATGCTGCAGGATGCTATCATTAATTCATATTTTCTCTCTTATCCATCCACTTTTCAGGGGTGTTTTCATTTCCCTGTATCCTGCTTGCTTGTTTTTCTTTTCACCATCATTAGCCTTCATGTGTTCTCTTTTCTTATAGCTCTCATTGCCTTGTAAGCATTTCATCTTGTAAGCATTTCATTATATCGAGTCAGGATTTTCCCACATTTTCACCAATTACCTGATTGCTAGGCCTCTAGTCTTTATTACTTCCAATGCAACCTTCCCATGAGATCATTCATTCAGCAAATATCCAGCATGGATGATCAGCCTGTTCATGAGCTTGACTTGCATAACTGGTTTGCTACTGGTCCCTAACTCAAAAGCTGAGGTCCAAACTTACTCAGTAGAGCTGCGAAGGAAAAGGCCCAGCAAACTGCTCCCCTTAGCATGACAGCTAATAATTCTCCATGAAGCAGTTCTACTGTGTCACTCCCAGGGCCATGATGTGTTGAGGTCTGACTTGCAGAAGTTAATAACAATCATATATGGTGGGTGCTATTGAGTGCAGTAATGGCATGTTAGAGACATTAACTTACACCCACTGCATCCGATCAACCTTCAGAGCATCTCCTTTCCCTGTAAGGACACAATTGAGCATCTACCCTCTAGGCAAAGGCTTCTAAAACCCTTCGGGTGAATGGACTTACACTTTCCTCCCTTACCATGTGTCTTAAAGACTTTTCACATGCTGTTCCCAATCAGACTATGGAGCACTACCTCGCCATTCGAATTACTTCATTCCTATGTAGCCTTCAGTGTCTTATAAAAGGTTCACCTCCTCCATGAAACCTCACTGATGATCTCTCCCACCAATGAATCATTTTTATCCTACATTGTGCCTCGAACAACTTTTGATTATTGCAAAACTCAAACTGCAGCATAGTACTGCTTGAAGTGCCTTCCCTAAGGAATGATATTTTCTTTCAGGAAATGGATCATTTCCTATCAGTCTTGCTACCTGCCCCACCCCACTAACCTTCTCCCTTGTGCCCCCTGTTTGACAGAGCCGTACCTGGAACAGCCAGTATTTAATACCTGCAACGATGAGACTCAAAGGGCCCAATGTGACCCTGAAAAACCTAGTGGAGTGTTTCCTGACACCTTCGTGAGATCTATTCCTCCTGCCGTTGCAGATATTTAAATTAACTGGCAATTAAAGAATATCATCTTTGCTGGGGTAATATTAGTAATTATCTATTTCCTGAAATGTGCACAAATCTATGTTTGGGGTGTGGACAAGATATAGAGTTAAGATATTATACCTAGATGACACGGCATATCAAAGAAGGAGATGTTGCCTGGTAACGCTCAAGATTCAGAGTCTGAAAAATGAGGTTCACACACAGAGAGGAAGAGCTTGGCTCCAATCAATAGTTAATTAATGTCAGAGAGCTGCTAGAAAGCAGCCCTCCTGCTTCGTTTAGGGCTGTGTCCTATTTTATCATTTTGCCTCCTTTTTACAGCTTACATATATGTGGCTTCCAGATATGAAAAAAATAGATTTTAAAAATATGCAAGAGGTATAAGGAAGGGGAAGAATACCTGTGAAATAAAGGAACAGGCAGCTAAAATAGTCAAAATCACACAGATGATGGAAATTAGACTGTTATAAAAGCTTTAAAAATGCACTGTCAAACATTCCTTATAAATTAAGGATTCACATTTGTTTGAAGACCACACTCACATGCTTAATTTATTAATTTAAACTCCAAACCTCCTCTACTCTAGAATACTAAAAGAGGGACAGTGTACAATGCTGCTCCATTTTTATGACATGTATAATTTATATCCAGTAATATCATTCAATTCAACCACAGAATTTGCTGTGTCATATGGGTAAATAGATAGAAAAATGGAATATAAACAGATAGACAATTAGACTGTAACCTGATTTGTCATATGAGTTTTAAGGGCTCATTTACAGCATAAAACCTTTGTGCAATATATTGAATAAAATAAAATTATGATTTATGCATAGTGCAAGACTAACTGATTCCACACAGTTTGAAATATACTATTTAATATAGAATACTGTCATCTAATTCATAAGAGGCAACAGACAAGTGAAATTTACAAAAACCTCTGCTGTCCAGGCCTTGGGCTGCTGACCTCAAGATTTGTGGTTCGATCGCACCAGCAGTTCCATGGGAGGACAGGGCAGCTGTTTGTTTCTATAATATTTTGCTGTCTTGGAAAGCCTAGGGAACCGTTCTGTTTTGTCCTGTAGGTTTGGAATTGACTTGGTGGCAGTGTATTTGGTTTGAGGTTCATTAATGTAGTAAGGAACCTACCAGTTGCTCTGGAGGAGAAAATACCTGGTGATCTGTTCTCATACAGATTACAGTCTGGAAAACCCTACGGGGCAGTTTTGCTCTGTCATATAGGAGTTCTACGAGTTGGAATTGGCATGCAGACAGTAAAAACACAAATGCAGTCGCATTTCTCATTCAGTGAAATGCATTGGTGAATTGCCTCATAACAAAGAAGCGATGACAGACTGTACAAGGCATTTTTGACTTGCTACTAGAGATGAAGGAAATAGTTGGAGAATGGATTCCAGGAAAGACAGCATTTTGAATACTAAAGACAATTGAAGCTGAATATTTTGCCAGTAGACAAACCTCTCCAGCCAGTACTTGCAATCAGATGTTATGTTATACCATTTATTGATACAGATGCTATAGCAAAATGTGGTGAAGAAATTAGATGGCGCCCAGCTCTCAGATAAAGTAGTGTCTGGGGTCTTAAAAGCTTGTCTCCAAACAAGCCGCCATGTAAGTGAAATGTCAGGTGTGTCCACATGGAAGAAGCACACCAATATCATTTACCAAAGGATTGTAAATCATATCATCTGAAACCAAAGGAGGGAAGAGCATTAGAGTCTAATTTGTGAGAATCTGGTTATCAGAAGGGTATGAATGACTGGGAACCTAGGATACAATTGTCAGAGCTACATAAGAATTAAGCCTCCTCCGGTGATCTCCCTCTATCCATAATAGGCAGATGGGAAGACAGTGGTTACTTAACAGAGAGCATTGGGGATATGACCATAGAAGATAAAAAAGATAAGCCTGATTTGAATGGTTAAAACCTTGCAGTTAATCCCACTCTGATGCATGTTAGCCCTGGTCTAGTTTTCAACCTTTTCCATATTTTTCGTCTGTTCATATTGGGTTGATCTCAGATCTGTTATGTCTTTGTGGGCACCCCCTTTAATTTTTGTTATATGTTTTTCTGTTTTTCAGTAAATGAAATCCAGGATTGATGAACCTATAGGGACAGCAAGTACAATTAGGCTTTCTGGGGGGCAGGGAGGGAGTACAGGGGTGGTGGTTGGGGGGTGGTAAGAGGGAGCTGATGTCAAGAAGTTCAAGAAGGAAAAGAATGTTTTGAAACTGATTGTGGCAGCCATTGTGCATTAGTGCTTGATGTGATTGAACTATGGAATGATATGATATCTGTATTAACTCCCAATAAAATGGATTTGAATAAAAAATGATGTTAACTTCTTTCTCTAATTAATATATGCAAACTGAGTGTCTATGAATTGTAAATTTTTCTATAATATTTTCATGTGAATCATATGAGTTCTGTGCTCAAAAAGGTCTTTGTGACAGTGACTTATGGGATAGCATAAAATCATGTAATATTTTATTCATCAAGTCACAATAAAAACCTGTTAATGCCATCCAATAACAACTATTTTAATAAGTAAAACTGAAAGCAAAAGTAGATTGTTTTGAAGATAGAAATATTGGCACAATTAGCCGAGTTTGCAATGTTGACATATCCATGCACATAAAAATTCTTTAATTTGCTATGCAATTAGAGATTTGGAAACATGAAGAATGTAAATTCATGTGAATAATTTTCCTACTGGCATCAAGATTTTCCTCCGTGCTTTGTCATATTTAAATTTAATGTGGGCCAAGTTTTCTAAATATCCATTATTTCAGCTTGCTATATCAAATAAAGGATCCCTGATATTATTGTAGTTTACACATTGGGCTGCGAACTACAGGGTTGGCTGTTCAAAACAATCAGCCACTCCATAAGAGAAAGGGGAGATTTTCCACTTCTGCAGATAGTTACAGGCTTGGAAGCCCACAGGGCCAGTTCTACCCTGTCCTAGTTGGGGTGGCGGTTGGGGCAGGGGGAGGGGGTTGAGGAGGAAATGGCTGTGAGTCAGAATCGACTTGATAGCAGTGAGCTGATCTCAAATAAATTGTAAATTGATACTAATTGAAAGAAACACATTACTTATGATTTAACTTCAGTTCCTTAGGCAGGGACATTTAGAATTGCTCAGTGTACCCATACCAAGTCAAAGGAGAACCTTCAGTGACATGCTTGTACATAATGCTTACCTCTCAGCCAGAGTTTGCTGTTCATTGATCCCAACATTAAAAAGTACTGGATACACATGAAGCAACTGTCCTTCTTTAATCTGCAGGGGCAACGACTCAAACATTCTAGCCGGAAGCTTGACCTCGACCACGTAATGTTCACTACAGAAAGTAAAAAGTGAAAGGGGAAAACAATCACTTATTCTGTTGTTTAATGTCATTTTCCAACCACTGGACAGAAATAATAGAGACATTGAAATAGGGCTTATTTCAATGTGCTCAATAATCACTTCATTTATTGCATTATTTCGTTACTTGCCCCAAAGAGTTGTAAAGGCCTATTTACATGCCTGTTTACATATCTATATAACTATTAACTGTTAATTTTTATATATTCAGGGTCACGAGCATATTTTTTCCTAGTCTAAGAAATGTCTTCCTTATCTTGGATATTAGCATTTAAGGTCCAAAAGCTAGCAGTTCGAATCCATCAGCATTTAAGGTAAATGCCAATATGTCTGGAGTAATGTCTGTCATTTCAATATTTATTTTCCATATCTTCTTCTTATGATTTTTCAGAGCCAACCTGAAAAACACATGTGGGGCTAATTGAAAGGTGGAGAGTTAAATGGGTGGTGAGACTCGCCTTTCTAGTTCTTGGGTCTCTTGCTTTCTGATGGTCGCACCAGGGTGCAGCTGCCTTAGCAGTTCCCTGCTTCAGCTTGCAAGATTGACTTCCTATAAGACATCCCCAAGGAGAAGCCACATGGACCTATCCCAATGCAGCCCTGGGTGCTGGAGCAGCCGTGTGGAGACCCCTGCTAGTGCTGAGATGCTTATTCGTTCAATGACTCAGCTTTCCTCCTGCAGTCAGCATCATTGCCTCTGTTTTGTGAGGTGGAGGACTTTGTTGACTGGTGTTGGGTTAATGGGTCAATGTTGGACTTGTGGGCTTGGGCAGCATTGGGTTGGGATGTTTTCGTGATGCACACTTTCTTTACATAAAACTCTCTTATACATGGGTTGCTGTGGATTTGTTTCTCTAAACTACCTAGACTAATACACAACCTTATTGTCTTTGTCTGGATTCAGATCAATATATTTTTGTGTCGTTCTAATTCTTCTGTTGATTAATTTTATTATTTTACAAATTATTTTCCTAGTGCTTACTATAAGGATTGTATATGCATCTGTAATGTTGACGGTCTAATTCAGATAGTTGGTCTGAGATCTTGTTGTGTCAGCTCTCATTTACACATATATGACAGAAGGAAATGTTTTCTAGTCCTGAGCCACCTTTATGATCTTTAATATGTTGAGTCAATTGTTTTCACTTTTGTTTAAATCCATGTCAATGAGAGGCTCTCTTGTCTTTGATGATCCTCTACTTTACAGATCATGATGCTGGTAAAGGGCTCAAGAGAGGAACTCCCCCTTTCATGCAATTGAGAGAAATATGAGGCTGCCCACACCTGTACAGGTTTATAGCCTTGGGAATCACAGAAAGGGGTGCTCTCAGTGTGAACAGACTCAGTGGTAGTGGGTTTTGATTTCATTCATTCATGTGTAACATTTTCATTTTGACCTTCAAATTTTGAATTTCTTCAAGCAACATTTCAAAGTCCCAATACCAGAATGTTGAAATTTGAGGAACGCGTACTAAAGTATCTTTATCATAGGACATAATTCTTCTGTTGAAGGTCTATTCTATATACCAGCATCTTTCTTCATTACTTCTGATATGGTTCCTATAAAATGCTGAGTTTGAAGACCATTTCTTTAAAACCCTTCTCAGAAATCTTACCATCCTGAGAGTGAATCCTAAGAAATGAAACAAAACAAAACAAAAACGGTTGTATAACCCCCCTGACAGAGGAATAAATCTTCTCTAAGATGCTGCTGCTTTTAACTGAATTTAATTTAAAGTCTTCTAAAGAGTTATGACACTATTAACCAAACGATTCCTGCAAACGTAAAAACATACAGGGCTTTAAGCTAGACAGAAATAAACGAGTAATATGTTCTTACCAAGCATGCCTGCATTTTACATTTCCCAGAGTTCCGGGAGTGGGCGGTGGGGGTGGGGATGGAAGTGTAGCACAATTTACAAAGATTAAGAGGCTTCCAAGAATTTTTCAAGATCTTCCTCTATCATGACACCAACACTTACATCTCCCCACAATGGAAAAGAGACAAAAAGGATAATTCCCAAGAAAACCTCTTGGTTTGTTTGTTAGGTATCAAAATAATGTATCTAGCAAAGCTCGATCGCTAGGAAATGGGTACCACTTACCGCCTTCCTGTTATAACGGGCAAGACATCATTCGATTTGGCTTCAGTTATTCTAAATGCTACTTTCTTCAAATCTGAAATGCCAACAGCCATGTCCTCGAGCATTCCAATTTCATCACCTAAACAGGGGAAAGTGCCTAGTTACAAACATGCTACTTGAGGAAAGTGTCGCAGCGGCGCTACCTGCATGCTGCGATTGGCCTAGCATTTTAGTGAATGAGCCTCTCAGCGCAGTGGATCCATTCTAAACGCCTCCCCTTAGAGGCTGGCTGTTTTCATTCGCGAAATAAGAACCGCTTCAATGGACCCCAGCAGGCAATGTACCCTTTAAGGGAAAGCAGCGTGTACACATTTGCTGGGAACCTGGAAAGGAGATTCAACCAGGTTATGAGACAACAAACTGCGCAGCTCCCTTTCTCGAAACAGCACCGGTGCTTTATTTTTAGAAACAACAGCTGTGATTGAATGGGGGAAAAAAAAAAAAGACTGACCTGGGCTCATACTGTTTATACTTATCAATATGCTGACAGTAAAGCTTGTGAAGGAACTCATTAAGAAGGATACTGAGCAGTCACTCATTGGTAGTATGATAGCATAAATGAAATTTTAAATTTCCTGGTGGTCATATTTAGAAGAATAAAACCAAAAGTGAAATTGACTTTAAGAATACATATTCACCTTACCCATTAGACTCAAAGAAGAATAATAACCTGATAATCAATGTAAAAAGTATTATTTAAGTATTTGCGTGGTTTTTTAGTAGTGGTTGATCTGGTGTGTGTGTGTGTGTGTCTTCTTTTGGACTAGATAGATTTTAAATTACCAACAGCCACATGTGTCTACTATATTGAACACTACAGTTCTAGACATGAGAGGATTGAGACTTTAAAAATGAGGTCATCGTATCAGTGCTGGCAAAGAGCCTTTCATATTAAAAAAAAGAAAGCCAGATGGCTCAGGTCTTCAGTATGAAAAAAAAATCTATAATTCCATTTTCAAAACATAATGGGGGCAAAAGCACAGTCACAAGGTGAATGAATGCAAAGAAATCTGTGGTTATATTTTTTCATATAATAATTGAGGCAATAAAGGTTTACTTCTCATTTTGGTAATTAATTAGGAAACCTATTGGTCACATATCCCTGGTGTGATGGCTGGCTTTTAAAACAACTCAGTGTACCTGGCTGAAGAGAGGGGTGGGGTCCAACCTATCGATCAGGTCACAGCCTGGTGATGCCTCCTTGGGGCTGTGGCCTTTTTATTAAAGAGACACTGAGGCTTTCTCTGTCCCTTGCTCCTCTTTGCCTTCGTTCTCGCTTGGAGTCTGCGTCGCTCCGAGGGCAGCCAATGTTCCCTGCCTTCCCTGGGAGCTGGTGTGACCCAAGTGTTCCTGGACCATGGCTGCATGTCCCTCTGCACCCACTGGCCTATGAGTCTGAAGGGGGCGGCCCCCGGCTAGCATCTCAACCATGGATTCAGTTGGACTGGACTGGACTGGATAATTTTCTTGATGGAAAATGCTTTTTTGACATACATTCTTTCTTAAACATGTATGTGCTTTGCTGGTTCTGTTCCTCTAGAAAACTCAAACCTAACACATCTAGGCATATGAATATGATTGTAACATGCATTAAAATAATACTCACTGTATGTACTTAGCAGTCCTTCATACTGTACGATCAAGCCAATTGTGTGAAGCTGGTCTAAGAAGCCAGGGTCATCCAAGCTTGTATGCAATTTGATGATAACGCCACAGACCAATCCAGCAAGCTGAAAATAGATAAATAAGTAAGTACAGAAATAAAGGTAGAAGAAATCAATATATCAACAGAGATAAGGAAACTCAGTTTAATTTTCATGTTTTAAGGTTTTTGAGACATTAGGGTCTGTATTTCAAATTTTCAAATATGTTTAACAAAAGCATGTGTTTATACATAGATATTCAAATAAGGAGAGTCTTTGAACTACTAAGCACTTGTATGAAAAAGCTTAAGACAGATAGTTTCATGAAAAAGGAAAACCCTGGGCTTCGGTGTTCACTTGAAATATCTTCACAGTCTCTCTCATCATTTCCAAGAGTTAGACCAGAAAATGCTATTTAACGCTTCCAAACTTTATTTTTTTAATGTGTGTAGGAGAGTGACAGGAACACATGTCACAAAGTCATTGGAAAGGTACAATGAAGGAGCACCTACGAAGGCAAGCATAATGCCTAAAGCTTTCTTTCATACACTGGTTCATTCACCTGGGACCATCTGAGAAAGAGGTGAAGCCAAGGAGAGTTGGGTAAAAATATTTACAATGACAGGGAACGTTTTCTTCTATGTGTTCTGTCTATGGATGTAGAGAGAGACAGAGATGGAAGGGAAAAGGGGTGCCGGGGGGTATGGAGGGAGGGAGGACCAGCACAGTCATTGTGATGGAGGGCAGTCCAGACTCTGCAAACGTATTTTATAAGCAAAGAGGTGGAGAGTACTGTCAGATACTGTCTGGGGTTGCGTGGGGGAACTATACTGATATAAGGTTGGATCTCATCCCTTTTGATAGTCCTGGCTAGCCAGCTCAGGTACAAAGCAGCAGTCCTTTCCTTTCCTTTGTGTAAACCAGCACTTGCCTAAGGCGGGTGCTCTTTCCTCCCCAGACCCCTGCCTAATGGAGAGGAATGTACATTTCAGACACGTGGACACCCACTTCCACATATAGAAAGACATTTCAGTCTCATACAATGGTTCCACATAACCTTAAATGCATATTTTCTATGAATGAGCAACTTTAGGCACTAACAAATGGAGGGCCAGAAACATTTTCAAACTAAAATTGCCCTAAAAGAACTCTCTCCTCATGAAAGGTGGCAATGTTCGCAGGTCAATTCTGTGTGCAAAAGAACCACAACAGGCACGTACCGCTTGACTGAAGACGATGTCTCTTCTCAGGGTCAGCATCAGACACTGGGGCAAGCTGTAGGCGAGCTCCTGAAGCAGCACGAAGGTCAGCGACTGCTTGGCCCGGCTCACCACTTCCCCCATGCAGTCCTTCAGGGTAAGGATGAGGGGGTGCAGCTGCTCGTACCAGTCCTCTGCATGGGGGCGAGGGTAGGGGATGAAAGAACAGTAGACTAAATGAAGGAGGGCCCTGGAAAATACGCGTTAGCATCCACAACGATTCAATCTGAAAATCTCTCTCGTCGAAATCTGTCCACTCAACCTCAGATGTCTCCAGCAAGTCACCCATTCAATCTGGACGTATTCTACACATTGCGGTAGAGCTCTGTTCATCTCTGTTTAATACCACCTGTGTTTCATGTGTCTAAGTGGACACAATAGGAAAGTACACGGTCGGGGGGTAAAAAGGCAGAACTTCAACGAGATGAATTGATTCCGGGACTTCAACAATGGGCTCAAACATAACAACTGAGAATGGCACCGGACCAGGCGGTGTTTGTAGCCCATGAGGGTGCTAGAGCTGACGCCAGGGCATGCATATCTTTTATTGCAGGAGTGAGAATCTCCCCAAACCTCTCCTTCTGCAATCTTCATTTTCTTGGTTATACATTTAGTTCTATTACTGGAATAATATCATCCTCCTGCCCTTTCCTGTCAACCTTTATTACTTTCTCTTAGATCACATGCCAGTCCTCTGTCTTATTGATCTCTTGCCATAAAGTCATCCTCTTGCTTAGAGTAGACTGCAAGTCCTCGTGACATGGTGAAGCAGAGACGCATGCCTCCATCATGTCCCCAAGGTTGGAATCTTTATGGAAGCAGATTGCCACATACAATTTCTCACATGGAATGGCTGGTAGGCTCAAACTACTGAACATTTGGCCTGGGCCACCAGGACTTTTTACCTCCAACCAGACTCAACTAAAATCACTTCTCAAGAGCGATGCTAGAAGGTGTTTTTAATTCCAAGGCATTACTCTGTCCCCGTGTCCTTACTTAGCAAACCATTAAAACACTGACATAGAACAAATTACTCACACAAACGAAAAGACAAAGAAACAAACTCACTGCCGTAGAGCTTACTCTGACCCCAACTGACCCTAGAGGGAAGAACTTCACCTGGTACTTTCTGGGACTGTAACCCTTCAGCAGTTTAGAAAACCCCATCGTTCTCTCCAAGGAGCACCTGGTGGTTTTAAACTTGTGGTTAGCAGTTAGTGGTTCATAACCACTGTACCACCAGGGCTTGCTCTCGAAAAATCCTGTCGTATCTGGCTTCTGCCTACATGCGAGGCCTCCTCTCTCACAGCTTCTTTAGATGCAGATAAAGTGACAAGAAAGCATTTCAACAAATCTGTACTATTTTCTCTACAGACTTCAAGGAGCTGGACTCATAGGTTAAGATTGGGCTGCTAACCAAAAGGTTTGAACCAACCAGCCACTCCATGAGAGAAAGCTGTGGCGGTTGGCTTCAGTAAATTTATAGCATGGTTTCCCCATACAAATCTATTTCATCTACATCCCTCTTTTCAGAACAAAATTAGTTAGTACCCGCAGCTACCACCGCCTGCCCGTCTCCCCCCACCCACTCCAGCAATTAAATGTTGTGTATTAGATCCCAGCACCCAGGATAAAGTATAGATATCTGTTTTTTGTAGCTTCCCTAGATCACCCCAGCGCCCCACTGGGGGCAGCATCTCCCACTTTGGGAAGCACCGCAAAGCACTGGAAATCCTATGGAGCCAGTCTTTGGACTATAAGGTCACTATTAGTCTTGATCTGCTTGATATCAGAGGGTTTGCTTTGGGCTGCAGACTTAATATAGATTTTATTTTTTACAGGAAGTCTTCTATGATTTTTCCCCTCAGTCCTCTTCTCCCTTACTGTCAATGTCCGTCTGCTAGAAAGGGAGCCCCCTTGACAAGCTTCATTTGAATGAACAAAGTTACAACCTGATATAAAAGGTCCTTTCAGAGATAGACACAAATTAGGAAAATCAAGCTCTGAGAACATTTGGATTTCAATCGTGTTCCTCCAAGACAGGACACAAAACGGATGGCACCTGTGCTATGTATATGTCTAGATTTCAACATGCTTCAGTTGGGTAATTATGACTTTGCCATACAATACAAAAATGCGGCATAGTCTGTTCCCATTCATGTGGATATCCAAGCCCTGAAAAATGGATGGATATTCAGAACCTACACTTGGAAAATAAATATTTCAATGAATTAATGGGGAAGTACGTGTTAAAAGAAAACAAACAGAAAATGGATTTTATTTTGGCTAAGCCCTATCAGTTTCTAGTACTAAAGAAATCCCAAACATTAAATAAAGCATGTGTACAGTAGATGGCACTGGTTTATCGGGCTGAAGTATAACAACATTGCCACCAGTCATTCCACCCAGAGATATCTCTTTATTAATACATTTGAATCTTTCCCAAACAATATATTTTTTCCTCCTTAAGCATCTTGCATCAGAGTACCCTGTGTCAAACAGTCAATAACTCAGCTGTGACTGTTATATACTCTTTTTACATGAAAAATGAACTTAGAAGTACACTATACTCCTTTTAATATTAAATGATAGTTCAAATGTAGCTATTGGCCTTGAAGGTTGGTCAAAGCCACAATCTCACAGATGTCTTTATAAGCAATTAGGGTAATGTCTTTAATCACTCTAGACATCTTCCTCACACTTACCTCACTACTGGTTTTTAATCATAACTTACAGTCAGATAATCAAAAAGAAGAATTCGATTTCTAGTCCTACCGGAATAGAAGTGGAAACCTGGAACAGATGTGGGCTAAGTTTCAACTGATACTCTAAATCTAGGAGCACTGTTAGATTCTTTGCTATTACTAGCACTTTAATTTCAGTGTTTTCATTTCCTATAACTATAAATACCTTCTATGGTTAGAAGGAGTCTTGGGGGGGCAAAGTGTGTTAATTAGCCATTGGGCTGTTAACCAAAAGGTGGGTGGTTCAAGTCTGCCAAGGAGAAAGATAAGGCACTCCCATCCGGACATCTGTTTCCGAGTAAAAAGTTACAGCATCAGGAGCCCTCGGGTCACTCACTGTGAGTCAGAATTGCCTCCGTGACAGTGCATTTGTGGTTTTTGTTTTTTAAATGGTTACATTGTAAGGAAAATGACAATTAAGGGAACCAAATATAAAGGAGAAAAATTACAAGTCTTGAGGTCTAAGTAGTGTGTCTTAAAGAAAGTAAACTTCTCATGGAGAAGCGTAAGTAAGAAGGCTAAAAATACTACTCCCTGCCCCTAGGAAAAGAAGCAATTAAGTTCAGCAGATAAAGGAAAATGCCGCTGGAAAATGTGAATTGCAGTGACTGAGGCTTTCTTATAGGTTCCGTGTCCGAAGCCAACAGCACGGGGCGTGACAAGTCAAAGAAAGGTGACAGGCAGGTCAGAGATGGCCCTTTTGCTCCAGTAAACACGGAACCGTTCTCACAAAGGAAAAGCAAGTGACAAATGTTCGTTTGGTTTGGTTTTGGGGGCTGGTGGTGTATGTGTGTACATAATGCTTTGGCTCTTCACACCTTGAGACCTTTGTTGCATTCCCCTTAGTAGCGTCTCTTCACCTTTCACTGTTTACTTGGTATTGGCTTGATTATTCTTAGGCGGACGCCCAACGATGGCCAGGAGGACGATGGTGTTCCCGCTGCATGCGCTCATCTAAGGCATAATTCCTAAAATCAACACCCGTTCACCTCAATTGTTGTTCATGACATGAATGGGTGCTGAGCACACACACAAGGACCACAGATAGTTCCCCCAGAAAGGCTGCGAAGCCCCGGGCTCACGCAATCTAGTGCCAGCGCCAATGCCTCCTGCATGAGTCAACCGGCCCGGCAGGCACTTCAGTGCCCAGCATGTTGATTCTGTCCCCTGGGCTCCTGGCAGTGATAGAGGGAAATATGAAGAGAATGGTCGAGTGTCTGTATAAAAACTTTCTGAAACGACTTAACCCTGGGACCAACAAGCAGAACACATAAAATATGTGTGGCTTAGCTGAGCCTTCCTGGGCTTTGGGAAGTGTGTTGGAAGGCCTCCACGCTGAGTCTGGTTTCCGGTTCTTTCCTGGCCTCTCTAGCGTATGCCAGTGAAGTTCACGGAAGGATTCAAAGAAGGCTGCCAGGTGCCCCCTCACCTCCTCCACACACCGTCTCTTTCCTGTACAGGATGTTCACACCCCTGAGCTCAATGGAGCCAAACACCAGCCGACTGTCGCAGATGATAATGCTTTCTTTCCAACCGCTGAGCCCTTTCCACTCAGATGCTTGGGCCTCCTCGCTCATTTAAAATAACTAACTTCAAAATAGCTGGTAGCCATTGTTATTGTTGTTATCACCATCTTTCAGACACAGGGGACAAAATTAGAGCCCCAAGGCTGCATGGCTGTTCGAGTGTCTACAAACGGATAGAGGAGAAAGGAGACCAGTTCATAGTACGCATCCAAGTTACGATGACAAAATGTGAGGTCCAATCATCGGAATGGGGTTTCAGGTAGATGCTGATAGTCCCCAGGCTGGAAAGAGAACCTGGACCAAATCTGCCGTCAGCCGGGGTGCTGTGCCCTGCTGCAGCCTCCGGTCACACAGAACTGAAGGGCGCATGGTTAGGGAGGGGGAAAGTGGTAGAGGACAGTGGCATTCCGGCCCACAGACACTGCTCTCTGAAGGGCTGGTGTCCTCCTTCAGGAGCTGGCACACCGTCAGGTAAGTTTGGGACTGCTAGCAAGTTGAGGTGATCTGTCTCTTAAAAAATGTACGGCCTTCAAAGCTCTGTAAAGGACGGCTGAGTCGGAATGGGCTTGATGGCAGTGGACGTGTCCTAGTCCAGCCCAGAGAGGGCTACCTGTGCGCTCCTCTCTCAGTGAAGGTCCTCAGGGTCACTTTGACAATGCGAGCATCCTAACTCGGATCTGTCAGTCAATCAGTGATAACGTTTCCTCTACAAATTCTCTACAGCTAAGCATTTTTATACGAGTTTAATGCACGTAACCAACATATTCTTAGACCCTAGAAACCTGAACTGGCTCCTTCCAGACGCAACATACATCATTAGGGAACTAAAACAATCTCCTGAGGGTTGGTTACACAAAACGTGTT